CTCTGAATCTCCCGGACTTCTTGACTCTGACTTCTAGACCTTCTTTTAAAGAGCTCACCTGATAACATCATGTCTACCCAAGATAATCTCTCTTTAAAAATGCAGCTGATTAGCGAGTATAGGTGCTAGTGTTTCGGCAGTAAGCTTCATTTGGGAGTAGGGCTTAATTCTGATGTAGGCAACAGTCAACCAATACAGAAACCCTGCGACTGCGGACTGTGGGAGCCGCTGAGACAGAAGGGAACGGTGCACTGTGACAGAGCAACTAGGGAAGAGCTCTTGTGACAGGTGATATCTGGGCTGAGACCCAGAAGAGGAGCATCAATCAGTCATGAGATGAGCTGAGGGAAGAACAGTGCAGGCAGCAGCTGAACTTTTTTTTTTTTTTAATAAGCTCTATGCCCATTGCGGGACTTCGATTCATGACCCTGAGATCAAGAGTTGCATGCTCTAGCCATTAAGCCAGCCACGCGCCCCAGCACCAGCTGAACTTTTATACTGTGTCTGAAACAAACTGTGCAAGAGTACAGATTGTCCTCCTGAAGGGAGTTCTCTAAAAGCTTGATTTCTTTGGCTTTGAGTATTTCAAAAGCTGATTTGTGTATTATTTGGTTTTGAGTATTTCAAAACCACAATCCAATAAGGAATTGTATTTATTGAACACTTGGGGTGCTGCATGCTTTTTCCACATATAAGACAATGTTTTCTGCTCCTAGAGTGTTCTACTAAGCCATCTGTTGCACCTACTGCAATCAGTGGGATCAACAGCATGTTATTTGTGTTCTACTTCTATCACTGGTGCTATAGAATGTTTTAGCTGTTTTAACAACTATCATTACCCAACTGCAAGCATACTTAAGTGTCTTCTTATAGACAAATGTGAATTTCAAAGTGAGTATATTCTATGTCAGCAAAGAAGAAAGAAGAGGCTTTTCTTTAAACTGTCTTTCAACATTTTAAATTTATATACTGGCTTTCAGTGTGAATCTATGTCGTAACACAAGTCAACCCCAGGTTTGAATTTTATTCAAATATGAAAATATTTTATATTACAGAACCCATATTTTACCACAATTAGCTATACACTGAAAAAATCATTTGAGCAAACAAGTCATTATTTCGGTGTTCTTCATTTCCTCCCTATCCATCATCCCCTCTTCTCCACCTCATTCATAAATTATGAAATCCTGAAAACTCCACATAAGAAATAATTGTGAATCCTACCCCTACTTCATTCTCCCTACAATGATTGCCTTATCATGCTATTTAGTTCTCTCCATTGACCCTTTGAACAATCTCAACTAGTCTTCCTGCTAAGAGCCTCTTCCTTCTCTAGTTCATCTTTTATACAGTTACCAGATTACGTTTCTAAAAACTGCACTGTTCTCCTGAAGTTTACAAAAGTCAAAATAAACTGCACTGTTCTCCTGAAGTTTACAAAGTCAAAATAAACGTGATAATGAGGTATAAAGAAAATAAAAACAGGATAAGAGGAAAGAATAAAGGAGGGAGTAATTCAAATTTTTATGATAAAAATGATATATAGCACTATATAAGTTCAGGGTACATGCAGCAGGAAGGAGTAATTTCAGGTAGGGTTGTGACCTTTGATTATAACAAATGTTAATCACCTTCAGCCAAAGGCCAGCAGGAACACACCCATAGTCAAACCAAGTTGGGTTTATTGACTTGTCACAAGGACACAGCACACCAAGAGGAACAGTGGAGAGTCTCAGTAAAAAATGTGTTGTCAAAGACTTATTAAAGGATTGGGCTTGTGTTAGGTGATTCTAGGAAAGTTCAAGGCTTTGCTCTGTATTGGATGCTGTCAGGAAGCAGGTAATTCTATGAATATTTTAATAATTGTTTTCTAGAAGGTAGGAAGAACAGAGCAAGGCTAGGTTATAATTGGTTAAGAAACAGAAGTCATTTATATTAGCCAGAATGCTTGGTCATTTTTGTGGTTTGGTGAATGTTCTTGTATTTGCTTTGTTCAGACATGATTATAGAAGGGTCTTATTTTTGGTTGGTCTATTATGGTTACAGAGTAGCCATGACTGATGTTGATGTTTTGTGAGATTATTGATGTTCAACAGAACACTCAGACCCAGCTGGGAATGCCAGTAACACCAAGGCCTAGCTAATAGTTCCAGGCCAGCTCCTGGCTGTTCAGGACCTGCTTTTCTTTTTCTAACTAACAAAACCATCAAGTGCTTTGTCTCTAAATTGCTATTTATAACTCTTACTCATACCTCTTGTTTCCTGAATATTTAGAATGTTTATCAGGGTTATTATTTAGGGATATTAGTTCTAAAACTCATCATAGCTCTGGTGACCACAGCGGTAGCTTACTTAATCATTCCTAAAATACACAAGATCCTCTGCTACATTCTGTGGTCAAGAGAAAAATAGCCACCTCTTTATGGCTGAACAGCTCTGGAATTGGAAGAACTAGTGCTGTAAATTTCAGAAACCACATCAAAAGTCTGCCACTTGACTCATGTTTTGAAAGCAAGATTTCAGAGTCAGATTGTAGGTGTAATTCTGATAGGTCTTCATGGTGCCAAGCTGTGTAGTAATCACATGGGGAGCTTGTTAAAATCAGGTAGAGATTCTAGGGCCCCAACTCCAGAGTCTGATTCAGGCTAAGTTTTTGACATTTATCCATGTTTTAAAATTTTCTTTCTTTTTAATTGCTGAGTAGTATTCCATCGAATGAGCTTATTTATCCATTCTCTACTGATGGACATTTGGGGTGTTCACAGGTTTTGGTGATGGTGAATAAAGCTGCTATGAATATTTTTGTGCAAGTCTTTTTGTAGATATAGTCTTTTCTATTTCTTAGGTAAATATCTGTAAGTGGAATTCCTAAGTATTAGTATATGTTTAACTAATATGAAAATATGGGTCCACAATTTTGACATGAAGCAATAAGATTTAGAACACCCTCTACATTTGCTCAAGGTGCAGCTTGGTAGAGATGGCAAAAGACCTGTTATAAGGCCTCAGGCAACCCCTGTCACTACTAACCTCTTTGCCTCGGCATCGAGCTCTGGAGGCCTAGAAGATTGCTGTACAGTCCCAGAGGAATGAAAGCTATGTGTATAATATCTGTAGAAATGTAGTTTGGGCAATGCATTTGATAGTAATAAATATGTAAAACCCTTTGACAAGTCTTTGCCTCTAGGTTTCTGGGAATTCCACCTCACTGTGATCAAGCTCAGAAATAGAGATCCCTGAATGCTGGCAGGCCTAAAATAAAAGTCATTCTTGACAAAGAGGCCATTATTAGCAAAGGTTTGATGGTATGTTTGGGCAAAGGCAGGGTGAGGCTGGCCACAGGAGTGGGAAAGTGACACAGGCTCAAACAATGGTCTCTAAGCTGAAGGGCCTTGAATCTTGAAATACTGCTTCCTCAGTTCTCTCAAGTTATTCTTAGCAGCTTTTTTAAAATACTGCCACTTTCCTTCCACTCTTTAGCGGGTAACCAGGCTCCACTTAAAGTAAAATAGAGACCCGGGGAAAGGAACTTTTTCACTTTCATATCTTTCAATCTGTGTCCATTCTTAATCTGTCTTTCCCTTATCCCTCCTACTCAATGAAGACGGTACCTCTCCTAAGGTACTCTGCCATTCCACCATCTCAGGGGCCTTGTTGTATTATCTTTTTTCATCTCCTCACCTCCTCCTTTATACTGACGCATTCCCATCATTTAAGCCTCTTTCAGTTTGTCTCTCAAGACAGGTACCGCTCTAATCATTGCCCTATTTCTCTGGTCTCATGAGAGTCAAACCTTCTAAATGGTTGTCTGCAAAGCCTATTTCCTCTTTCTCATCTGGGTCACCAAGGTCCGCCTAGAACCGTTTATCATATAGTAGGCACTGCACAATCATTTTTAAGGTGTACAATAGATGGAGAGATGGGACTCCGAGAGTGCAGAGGCTCATCTATAGCTTGCAGCCTGGAATGCTGGATGACTCAATCGGTCTTTTAGGCGTGCAGAGGTAACTTGAGACATGCTTTCACTTTTGAAATAAAGTTACGAAGTCAGCAGTCGGCCACAAGCAACAAGTATAAAAACAAGTGGAATCCACAGCGGTGCGGCACCACTCATTAGCCCCTCACGTGAGAACACAGGGCCACACATCTGGTACTGCACCGGAGAAGCAGCAGGGGACCCAAGTCGGCCTTCCGCCGGAACCCTGTTTACGGCTCCTCGGTGGCCTCGGTCTCCGAGTCTGGGGGTGGGGGTGAGGGGAAGAGCGCAGCGGCTCGCGGCCAATGGCAGTTCTTGAACTTACACCTACAGACGTCAGCGCGGCTGTGCAAACGGATGTCACACAGCTGCTCGGAAGCGTCTCCTCCCGTCCCAGAAAAGAAGCGTGGGCCCAGCGTACTCCGCGAAACCTTGGGCGAGGGAGGGAGGGGCGCGTGCCCCTCCCCGCTCGCCGGCCCGCGTCTTCCCAGCAGTCCCTGCCTAGCGGCCGTCCCCGGTGAGCAGCCGGGCGCCCGCGCCCCCGCCCCAAGCGCGCCGCCGCAGCCAGCTCCGCCCCCTCCCCGAGCGGGCCGCGCGCTCCTGCGGCTTCGAGCTGTGTCGCGGGCGCGCGCGCCGCCGGCGGAGCCGCAGTTAAAATGGTCCGAGCGGGACCTCGCGTTCCCCCCGCCGCCGCACTGACTGACTGAGCCGGCGTGCCAGGCTTGGACTGGTCGCCTAGCCGGCAGGCTCGCTCCCTCCGTCGCGTCCCCAAAGCTCGCGCCCATCGTTCTCCCGGCTTCCCGGGGCAAAGCATGTAGCCCCCGTCGGGCGCCCGGGCAGCCCGCAGCTGACGCCCACCCCCCACCGTCGCGTGTGTGCCCGTGTGTGCGTGTGTGTGCGCAGGGCGGGCGACCCCGCCGCGGGCCCGAGGCCGAGCCAGCTAGCGGCCTGCCCCGCTGCCGGAGCTCGCTTCTCCGTGCCTCCCTACTTCCCCGTCCCGGTCCCCCTCCTCGGGGCCTTCTATATGGGCCACCTTCTCTCGAAGGAGCCGCGTAACCGCCCGAGCCAGAAGAGGCCTCGCTGTTGCAGTTGGTGCCGCCGCCGCCGCCCTCTCCTCAGGCTGCCCCGCCGGACCCCGGCCAAGGCGCCCCCCCAGCCGGCGGCGCCCCGGAGCCGGGACTGCTTCTTCCGCGGGCCCTGCATGCTCTGCTTCATCGTGCACAGCCCCGGCGCGCCCGCCCCCGCCGGCCCAGAGGAGGAGCCGCCGCTCTCGCCGCCGCCGCGGGACGGGGCCTACGCCGCGGCCGCCTCCTCGCAGCACCTGGCGCGGCGCTACGCGGCCCTGGCTGCCGAGGACTGTGCTGCCGCCGCCCGCCGCTTCCTGCTATCCTCGGCCGCCGCCGCAGCAGCTGCCGCTGCCTCGGCCTCGTCGCCCGCCTCCTGCTGCAAAGAGCTGGGGCTGGCTGCGGCCGCCGCCTGGGAGCAGCAGGGCCGGAGCCTCTTCTTGGCCAGCGTGGGGCCCGTGCGCTTCCTGGGGCCGCCCGCCGCCGTGCAACTCTTCCGGGGGCCGCTGCCGCCGGCCGAGCCCCCTACACCCCCAGAAATGGTGTGTAAGCGGAAGGGGGCCGGGGTCCCCGCCTGCACCCCCTGTAAGCAGCCCCGCTGCGGCGGTGGGGGATGCGGCGGCGGCGGCGGCGGCGGAGGGCCTGCAGGGGGAGGTGCCTCGCCGCCGCGGCCCCCCGACGCCGGCTGCTGCCAGGGCTCCGAGCAGCCACCGCAGCCGCTCTGCCCCCCGCCCTCCTCTCCCACTTCCGAAGGTGCCCCCACAGAGGCCGGCGGGGACGTGGTCCGAGCGGGGGACACCGCCCCCTCGCCCGCCCAGCAGCAGCATGAATGCGGCGACACGGACTGTCAGGAGCCCCCCGAAAATCCCTGCGACTGTCACAGGGATCCACCCCCTGAAACCCCAGACATCAACCAGCTGCCGCCATCCATCCTGCTCAAGGTGGGTCTGGGCGAGTGGCGCAGGGATGCGTGCTTTTCCCCAACCCCGGCCCCCACCTCGGAGGTTTTCTCTCTCCTCCCCCTAAGCGCGGAGGAGGGGGTTCCCTGATAGCCAGAGAAGTCCGAAGGGGAGAAGCCAATGGGGAAGATGCTTATGGCCTGTTTTTTGAAGTAGAAAAACTTGGGAGTTTGGTCAATGTCTTTTAATAGCTTGGGTTTGTTACCACAATTCAGGATTCATGTTACTAGATTCCCAGTGGTTTAGAAACTATTCGTAGGTTTTCTGGGAAATATTTTTATCAATTGAGCAATTTACATTTACTGCTAAAGATTTTGTCTGTTAGTATTTGAGAGTCCTCAAACAGTACTTACCGGTTTGATAGCTACTAGTTGATGTCAGTTACTGTGACCTTTAATTGAACATTTATTATGATCCGGCACTGTGCTTGAGCTTTATATACATAATATCTCAGTCACCTAGTTAACGCTGTGAGATAGGTATTAACAACCCCACTTTATACAAGAAGACACTGATATTTCAATGCTGTGTGGCTACAGTGGTAACTCAGGCAGAAGTGGTCTTTGCTCTGTGGAGTTTAGAATCTAGTGAGGCTTGAAGCGGTTGAATGACTTGTCCAAGGTCACACACACAAAGGGCTGATTTGGGGAATTTAGGCCTGCTGGAGTTGAAAACCCTTTGGTTTATGTTATGCTTTGTTGCCCTTCTACATTTTAATCCTTACATACAGTTTGTCAGAAGGTAGAGACAAATGTATTTTTTGGGGGGAATATGGGTGAGTGGAGGAGACGTGGGTGTCCGTTGGGAGCTTTGTCTGACTTTCAACTAAGTAAAATTTACAATTTTGTTAATGCTAGTGAGAAATTTAAATAAGTGACAAAGTTAGTGTTATTATTACTAGCAAGTTATTTTTTCCTCATGCCCCCCCTCCTTCCTGGAAGTTAATAAATATAAACCTTTTTCAGTGTAGGAGATATTTAATACCAGCCAAAAATAACCTAGATAAGAATTAGGCTACTTTTATTACTGATGGAACTGTCATCAGTTACAATTGTTACTTTCACAAATACACTTTTTTGATTAGAATTTTTGCACATTTATAATCCTGTGTGTTTAGATCTGTTTTACTGTGATATCAATGTTCTTGTAAATAATATAGCAAAAGAATGGGAAAGCCCAACTTTTCCTTGAGGCAAAATGTAATGATTTAACTCTTATGGAGGTGTACTTTCTGGAGGAGTAATTTCCTCCCCTGTGTTCAGGGTGTGCTTTTTAGGGCAGAGGGAACTTTCTTGAGTCCTCTAATTCAGCAAATGACAAATATCAACAAATATTTGGTATAGAAGTTTGATTGCTGTCTTGTTATTTAGCAAGTAAGACTGTTTAAAAACCAAAACAAAACCCAGATACTTTCTGCTTTCCACCCAAATCATCATATCAGGAGGCAGAGAACATTTTAGTGCCAAAAAAAAAAAAATCTCCTAATAAAATTTCTAAAGAATAAATTTTGCTAGTATAGATTATTTGCTAAAAGTGTTTTTTCAAATTTTGCTGTGGACTGTTGAAAACTTGGTCTGAAAGACATTTGAGGATTTTACTCATCGGATTTGCTCTGTTGTGTTGGAGTATTTATTTATTTATTTAAAAGGGAGGTATTTTTTTTTTTTTAAGATTTTATTTATTTATTTGACAGAGAGCGAGAGAGGGAACACAAGCAAGGGGAGTGGGAGAGGGAGAAGCAGGCTTCCCATGGAGCAGGGAGCCCAATGTAGGGCTTGATCCTGGGACCCTGGGATCATGACCTGAGCCAAAGGCAGACGCTTAGTGACGGAGCCACTCAGGCACCCCGTGCTGGAGCATTTGGACACGTTAGGTAGATTTCCTTGTATTAGAAACTTGAATAAAGATTGTCTGTGTGTGTCTTATAGTCATAGTGGTATTCAGCATGAAGTGAGTTAGACTATTGGAATGAATTGAAATTGAGGTTTTTCAGTGTTTACCAATCCATTCCAACTTTTAGGAATAGGGCTTTTGATGGTAGAGGCTCTGTCAACATAGATTTTGTTCATTGTTTTATCCCCTCCCCTAAGTGCAGTGGCTGGTATTTAGTAGCTCTGAGTAAATATTTATGAACAAATGAATGTCTAGGTGTTTAGGAATTCTGGGCTGATACTCTGGGTGAATATGCCATGCCAGTAAGAGAAGCCAAGAAATGTTTATATCCTCACCTGAGTTGTTTTTTGAGCCACAGTAAAAGCCACATGATGGTGAACGGATTCTGGCTCAATTTTTGGTGAGAATCGGAGGTGTTTGGCTTGTAGAAGAGAAGACTTTGGGAGCTTTGATGATGTTTTTATTTTTAAAGGATTTTATTAGAGAGAGAGAGGGGATGAGCAGGGGGAGGGGCAGAGGAAGTGGGAGTAGCAGTCTTCCCACTGAGCAGGGAGCCCAAAGCGGGACTCCATCCCAGGACCCTGAGATCATGACCTAAGCCAAAGGCAGATGTTTGAGTAAGCCACCCAGGCACCCTATGACGATGTTTTTATAGTACAAGAAGAATTGTTGCATAGAGAGGTACAAATCCATCACCTCTGTTGGAAAAATTCTTAGAAAGCATGCCCTTTGTCCCTAATAATGGATCAGTAGCCTTTATGACTGTATTGCTATATCTTTTGTACCAGAAGTTACTGTAGTTGTAAAAAAAAAAGGGGATGTGTGGAGGAGGGAGAGTTTGGAAGAGAAATGTAAGGAAATGTGATTTAAAGGTTGTTTTTAAGGAAAACTACCAACTTTTTCCAGGTAAATTTTTTTTCCAGGCAAAAAGCAAAAGCAAACAAAACAAAAAAACAAAACCCCAAAACAAACAAAAAACAAAAAAAAAATCCTACCTAAATTCTTTTTATGGCGGTTTATAGGGCAGATTTTTGGTTCAATATCAAAATTTTTATGTAACTTGCCTTAAGACATTAAAATAATGCAGGTAGGGCAAAAATTTGCCTAGATTCACCCTTACCTTCTCATCTAGTTTCCTCTCCAGAGGTAACTAACCACTGTTACAAGTTTAGATTGTTCTTCTAGAACTGCTCTGTAGAGTACAGTAGCTTAAAGTAGTTAAAATTAAATCAAACTTAAAATTCGGTTTCTCAGTCACAATAGCCACATTCCAGAGATTAGTAGTCATGTGTGACTGGCTGCTACCATACTGGACTGTGCAGATCCAGAAAATTTCTCTCATTGTAGAAAGACCTGTGTAAACCTTCATACCTTTTTTTCATAAATGGCACCAAAATGTACATGTTGTGAATTTTTTTTGTTTTGTTAATAGTATGGTTTGGAAGTCTTTTCTTATTAGTAAGTAGTGTGTATGGTTTCCTTCATTTTTTTTCTTTTTTTTTGGTAAAAGTTTATTTATTTAATCTCTACACCCAGCCTGGGGCTTGAACTCACAGCCCTGAGATCAAGAGCCGCATGCTCTACTGACTTAGCCAGCCAGGTGCCCCTTCTTCATTCTTTTTAACTGCTGCATAGTATTCCATAGTTTTATTCCATCCTGTATTTTTCTATTATTGAATGGTTCCAACTTACTGCTACTACCAACAATGCTAATAGATGTTTTCTGTGCATATGTAGTCATTTTTTTAGTGTAGATTTCAAGAAAGTGGAATTTTAGGGTTGAAGAATGTGTACATTTGGAAATTTAGAAAATCCTTTCTAACAATAAGAACTGTGTAAAAACAACGAATTCTTTCTTGAAATAGTGAGCTTCACTGGAGATCATAATTTAACTTCAGAACAGGAAGAGACCTTTGAGATCTGGGTACTCCCCACTTCTTTTACGTGAAAAAACAGGCCTGGAGAAATGAAATGGCTTACCCCAACACATTTTAGATAGTGAAAGGCAGACCCTGGTCTGGAACCCCTCTCAATGTTTGCAGGCCTAGAGATCTTTTCAATATATTATGAAAGAGGGTCTCAGTAATCTTCTCTCAGAGATTTTATGAAAGAGATTTTCCTGAATTGGGGGTGGCAGGGAGGAGCTTACACCAGACAACTTCTAAACTATTATGGGTCAGAGGCTAATTTTATAATTGGGTCTGTAGAGTTGAATTGTGGTCTTTATAAGAAATCTGAGAAGTAGGGAATGGATCTTCAAAGGTCATCTGTGGGAATAGCATTTTCTTAAGGACTCAAGCCTGTTATAGTTGATCTTTGTTTGATGGACTGCTTTGGATCAACTAAGGTAGCTTCAGTCTTTGGTACCTGTTGCCTTTATAACTTAAAGCAAGCCTGCCTTGTGATATCACAATTAGATTTTTATATTGTGGAGCCACTATGCAACAATTTTACCAAATGATAGCAGTGGACTACTTTGTTACTATTTGAGTAACTGGTATTTGAGATCTGTATTTAATATTTAGAGACTTTGTGTGCTTTATGTTTAGATATCTTGCTCTCTGTCAGCAGACCTGTTTCTTTCCAGAGGAAACGGGATGAGAGGTCCAAATCTATCACCACAATTAGAAAACTGCTGCACCATGCGTGCACCCCTGATAATGTGTTAGTAGGTATTAAATCTTGATTTTTACAGCTTTATTGCCAACAGGTTCATTTAGTTATCAAGAAAGAATTTTGTAAGAGAAATGTACTTTGGGGGAAGGCTTATTTTCTTGATCTGTTCGTTTTTTTAAAATATGAAAATAAGGTTGAAAGCAATGGAAATGGGAGTCAAAAAAGTAATACTGCTTTTTAAAGCTTTGAATGTAGATTACTAGTGGGTAAGAGGAACTAAGTTATATGTAGCATTTCATGAATGCTTGACTTAAGGACTCCAGTACCAAATAACCTATACAAGGTATATCTCTGTAGTTCTAGGGATGAGTTTAGTCAACTCTGAAATGGAATGTTGTTAGGAAGTCAGGTTCAAGATTTTTCTTTGTTAAAGAATGCCAAGTAATCTTGATTAACATATGCCACAAAAGGTG